TGCTGTTGTTGCTGGTGTGAGATGATATCTCATTGTTGTTTTGATTTGCATCTCTCTAATGGCTAGTGATCGTGAACATTTCTTCATATGTTTGTTGGTTGCCTGGATCTCCTCCTTGGTGAAGTGTCTGTTCATGTCCTGTGCCCATTTTTTAAGTGGGTTATTTGTCTTTTTCTTGTAGAGGTCATTACTTGACTTTTACAATGTCTGCTATGTACCTGGGTGGTACAAATGGTTTGTGCTTGGCTACTTACCTGGCAGTTCGAACCCACCAGCAGCTCCATGGAAGGAGTCTGGAGATCTTCTTCTGTAAAGATTGTTATTGTTGTTGTTAAGTGCCTTCAACTCAGTTCTGACTCATAGAGACCCTGTATAGGGTTTCTGAGGAGCGGCTGGTGGGTTTGAACCTTTGACCTTGCAGTGTTTATACTAGATTGTTGTTGTTGTTAAGTGACGTTGAGTCGATTCCGACCCACAGTGACCCTGTATAGGGTTTCTGAGGAGCGGCTGGTGGGTTTGAACCTTTGACCTTGCAGTGTTTATACTAGATTGTTGTTGTTGTTAAGTGACGTTGAGTCGATTCCGACCCACAGTGACCCTGTATAGGGTTTCTGAGGAGCGGCTGGTGGGTTTGAACCTTTGACCTTGCAGTGTTTATACTAGATTGTTGTTGTTGTTAAGTGACGTTGAGTCGATTCCGACCCACAGTGACCCTGTATAGGGTTTCTGATGAGCAGCTGGTGAGCTTGAACCGCCGACCTTTCAGTTCAAATGGCTTTGCAGTCTGGCACATTAACCCACAGCATCACACCAGGCTTCCTATACTAGATTTGTTGTTGTTATTGCTAAGTGCCGTCAAGTTGGGATCCTGTATCCTGTACAGGGTTTCCGAGGAGCAACTGGTGAGTTGGAACTGCTGGCCTGGCCCAAATCCACTTTGCAGTTTACCGCATTAACCAGCAGTGCCAAACCAAAAGTCCTAGATTACAGCTAAGAAAATCTTTGAGAACAGTTCTATTTTGTAACACACGGGGTCGTCATGAGTCGGATTTGCCTCAACAGCACCAGGTTTGGTGTAGTGTTTACTCTAAAATTTGTATCCATTTAAAATATTCATAAATGTTCCATAAACAGATATATATGCAGGTAGCTCCCAGGCTAACAGCATCACAAACTCAGCTTATAGGCGATATTACTTGTAGGTTGCTCTTAAGGGCTGTTCTGTAATTCCTGACTCCTAGCCACTCTATATAAGATTTCCAAGTGGTGGTTAGTGGGTTTGAGCTGCACACCTTGTGGTTAGCGGTCAAGTGTTTATCCTACAGTGCCACACCAGGAGTTCTGTTACATTGCCCTCACTTTGAAATGATTGAACCTAACCCTACTCACAACACAGTGTTCATTATAGCCGCCTTCCCTTGCTGCACATGGAGCTCTTAATTTATTGAAGAGGCCTGGAGTCTCTTCTTACACTAAAGTAAGAACCATATGTATACACCTGTTCTGACTTACCTACAAATTCCACTTACAGACTTAGAAGCAGAGGTTGTTCTTAACCCAGGAACTGTTTATAATAATAAGGATTATAACAGTTTGGAAACCAAAATCTGGGGCCAATGAGAGCTTTAGAAATGATTTACTAATTTTTTTTTTTTTTAAGTACGCCAAATGATTTCAAAACCCAAGTGGAAAATTTACTAATGTCTGACACCTAACGTTTCAACAAAATATATGACTTTGCTTGAGCGTCGAGTCGCCCTGAGTTGGAACTGAACAGCAGAGCGAGGGGTTCTTGCTTTAGAGCCCCTCACTTTTAAGGCCGGTCATGTGCGAACATACCCACTATCAAGGTGATGCCCATGCTGAGGGAGCTGACCCAGGCAGTGAGGCCACGGCTTTGGTGGAATTCTTCCAGCCACTCCACGTTGAGGACGCCCAGGGCCATCTGAGAGCCCATGATGAGGATGTGCACAAAGAAAGATGAAAACACGATCACCCAGGCCCATCCGCCATCAATGTCTGCATGGGGTTTAAGCATCTTCTTATCTTTGGTGTCATCTTCAGAATCGCACCCAACGTCTTCATGACTCGCATACATTTTCCAAGATTGTCTGAAATACATTGAGAAAAGAATTTCATTAAATTAGAAAAAACAAAAAGCATCTTGGTCTGCTTGGCAAAGCTCTAGCTCCTAGTCCTCGCATCAGGACCTCCAGAGGAATCTTGGTCATGGTGCTGATTTGGGGATACCGCTCACTTTTTTCACCAGGACCCAGGCCTTTCATAAAACCTGCTTCATCCTGACAGGTAAGAATAGCAATTTCCTTTTTGGGGGAATGGAAGAAGACTCGGAGAAGCGCTGCAACTTTCCCCAAACCTCATAATAAGGAATAGTGCAGCCAGAGTGAAGACTGGGGTTTGAACTCACTGATTCCTGACTATAAGGAATTGGCGTGGTGGGTTAAGCATCGGGCTGCTAACCACAAGCTCTGGTTCAAGCCCACTAGCTGCTCGATGCCTGCTCCCATACGATTTTCAGGCCAAGAGACCCCAAGCAGCAGTTCCACTCTGTCCTGTCAGGCTACCGTGAGTCAGAGTGACTCTGAGGAGTGGGTGACCCCCGACTACAGAGCCTTTTATGCTGTGTCTCATAGAGATGGACAAGCACAGGTGACAAGAGAGATGTTAGACAGGGAATACGTCCAGTGTCGGGCAGGCTTCAGGGTGGCTTTGCCTTGTTGGGACCGTCATGGATCAGAACCAGTATTTCCCTCATTTCATCATCTCTGATGCCAGGCATCTACAGGTACTTTCTCTCTCGGATCTTTGCCACCCAGAGCTAGGGCAGAGCTCATAAGCTCCTGCAGACAGCCAGCTGACCTACTGGCCACAGATTCAGGGTTTCCGCACCGTGCCTTCAGTGTGCCAGTTGCTAGTTTGGGGGCCTCCCCGGGGTTGCCTGACTTTTACCTACTGCCATTCCTGCTCCTTTTTTAAAAATTTAAACTCACTTGAATGACTCACAGAACACACAGAATGTACTCTTCTTAAGATAATGGATTTATATGAGTAACAAGATAAATTAGTATCATTGGATGAGTACCCAAACTTCCATGTTCTAAAGAGAGTGTGTTACCCAACCAGGAAGCTCTGAAAGCCTTGTATTCAGAACTGTTATCAGCCTTTTATTGCATGGTAGGCCACACTACATCTCCTGAGGTTCATTGACATTGGCTTACCAAATGCATTTTTTCCTGCTCTGTCCAAGACTTTTCATTAGCACAAATCCTCAGGCCCTGTCTGGAGATTTCAGATAAAGGCACCTCCCTGTCAGAAGGTCTGGTTGTCAATTTTGGGAATCCGAGTTCAATTTGTTCAAAACAATCTGAGTGGGATAGCCTCAGGGGGACTGGCTTATACTAACCCGACTCAGGAGAGAATGATAAAGTAGAAGACCCATGTATTATTTGAGGTTGGGAGATAGAGCTTTCCGATAACTGTAATACTTATGTATGATTTACAAGACACGTTCATTTTTAGGCCTTCCACCTCAGCGTTAACCTGGGAAACAGAATTAGTTACTAGAAAGTTAGTTAGAGAGGTGAAATCAGACTAAAGGAATTTGGATGCTACAGCGACATCCAGGTTGGTATGCAGGCGGGGGCTAGATCACGCAGGAAGGATCCTGTGTGCTACCTAAGGAGCCTGTGGTTTATCTTGGACTTTATGAGCAGCCATGGGTTGAATTTACACAGGAAGGGAAACGATTTGATTTTTGCTTTGCATAGATCTTTCTCTCAACATGTTCTGATGAGAAGAGGGAGAGGATGAGAGGTAAACCAGCTAGCTACTGGAATCTGTGGCCAATACAAAGAGTTACGTGTTCAGCAGCTAGCCCAAAAGTCGATGGTTCAACCCTACCCAGAGGTGCCTTGGCAAACATGCCTTGCGATCTGCTTTTGAAAGGTCAGTTCTGAAAACCCACTGGAATCGTTCTATTCTGCACATGTGGGGTCAGCATGAGGTTGAACAGACTGGGCAGCAAAGGGGTTGCTTTGATATATTCTCTTTATATGTAATTGTCTTAAAATGCAAGAGCAAATACGAACATTAATACTATCTCATGGCCTTGATTATTACGAAGATGGAGTCCTGGGGTGGTTATTATGAAGATGGAGACCTGGGGTGGCACTGTTGTGCTAATGCGGCAGACTGCAGTCGTTTGAACTGCAAGGTCAGTGGTTCAAGCTCACCAGCTGCTCCTTGGAAACCCTACACAGGGTCGCTACGGGTCAGGAGCAATTCAACGGCACTTATACACACACACACACACACACACACATCACCACCAAAGATATTTTTTGTTGCCATAGAGGAGGGGCATTTAAAAATGATTTGTTCTGGGTGTCAAATTTTTAGCACACCTCCCGTTGTTGGGACTGTTCTCAATCCAGCTCTGAGGGATAGGAGGAGAAGAGAGAAGATTATACCAACTTACTGCTACCAGCCTGCTTCTGTAACGTGTATGAGCTAAGAATTATTTTTATCATTTCAAGAGTTACCTGGTGTACAAAAATTAAAATTTTTATTGTTGGGCCCTTTACAGAAATATTTACTTGAACAATAGTATTGCTTCCGGCCAGAGGCTCATAAGCTGGAATTGGTGGGGAGAGATTTGTGCAGAAAATCAAGGGTTCCAATGAAAAGCAGGTTGATAGCATTCACCTGGATTCTATCCGTCCTCTCAGTCTCGCTATTGAACAACTGTCCCATCTTCTCCTGCGAAGCTGCTGGTGGGTTTGAACCATCGAACTTGCGGTTAGCAGCCAAACACTTAACCATTGCACTGCCAGGCCCCTCTTTTTCTGTGAACATGGTTGTTGTTAGTGCCATTGAGTTGGTTCCAACTCACAGAGACCCTGCCTGCATAGGGATCCCGAGGAGAGGATGATGGGCTTGAACTTCCCACCTAGCGGTTCAAACCAACCTTGCAGTCCAGCACATTGTCCTATGGCACTAGATTAACATCAAGAAAACTCTATGGAGCAGTTCTAGTCTGTAACACATGCCATGTGTCGGAATCGACTCTGTGGCAAAGGGTTTTGTGTATTTTGAGTACTCAGTGTGATTCCTTGGGGATAGAAACGGATGGGGCAGCCCAGGACAGAGTTGGCCTGCCTGGAGGGTGGGCTGGCCAAGGACTCAGAGAGGCAGCTGCCATCCCTCCTTCTCTGCTTCTATGTGCAAAATAAAAAAGAGGAGATTCATTCAACTTGGCAAAGGGGTGAGGGATCTGCCTGAGAAATAACATCATGTCACACCCATAAGGTAACACTGAATAAGATCAAACAGCCCGGACCCACAGTTCCCAAAGTCCATTTGTTGTTGCTGTTGTTAAGCGCTATCAAGTAGCATCCGACTCGACTCATAGAGACCCTGCATAGAGTTTTCAAAGAGTGGCTGGTGAACCTACAACCTTGTGGTTAGCAGCCAGTGATTATCCTACAGCGCCACACCACAACTCCAAAGTCCATTTACATCCCAGAAAAGCTTGGGAATAATCAATCATTTGTTAAAAGTTGGATTTCTCCAGTCCATGGGCTAACATGGGGAGCATTCTCTCTAAAGCAAAGTGAAGAATATCACAGACCCACTTGATGGTTTCTTTTAGGGGTAGGAAATGTAGCTGCCTGCCATTGCTACATGGACATTTTCAGTTTATTCGTTCTTACAAAAGCGATAGTGAATTGGATCTAAGTGGATCCATTGTATTCAAGAGGCACAGCGGAGTGTGGAGAAAACAGCATCCAAGGCAGAGCAGTGGTGATGGGGGTGGAGGTAAAGGAAGTTGTACCACAGCTTCAGAAAGTCCTTGTGGATCTTCTGCAATGGGGTCTTTTGCATCTCACACATTACTCTCTCTGACAGGAATAACTGCTTTGACTCATCGCTGTGCACATATTGTTCAACCAGGTTGTTCAACTAAAGTGAACAAAAGACAACAGAAAAATTAACGTTGATTCCCTCCACTCCTAAATTTACTTTGGGCATTTTCATACTTATATAACTGTAATAGGAGTCCTGGTGTGGCGCTGTGGGATAAGGAAATCCTGTACAGGATCACTATGAGTTGGAACCGACTTGATGGCAATTAACAACAACAATATAGCATACTGGTCATAGTATTATGATTCTACTCTACACTTCGGACATACTGTCCAGAGGGAACTGTCGCTGGAGAAGGATGTGGTAAGATGGAGGGTAAGATGGAGGGTCAGAGAAAAAGAGGAAGACCCCTAACGAGATGGATTGGCCAGGCGGCATCATTGATGGACTCAAGTGTGGCAGCGGTAGTGAGGTTGGCCCAGGATCGGACATTGTTTCATTCTGCTGTGCATGGGGTCGCTATGAGT